TCAAGTAAAAAGCTTATCAGTTGGGATCGCAGAGGCTCCTCGATTGAAGCGCCAATTTGGAGTGTCCGAGCTAGGTCCTCTGTCGAAGTTGGGATAGAGATAGTCTCTTCTGTGGGTGTAGCTCGCTCCTCGCACTGCTCCGCAAGTCGCTCCAGCTTAAGGTCATCTGCCACATTGGTTTTCCCTTTGAGGGCGGCGACGTAGCACTTGCGAGACTCGAGCTGATCGCCTCGCGCTACCCCAACTCCGAAGTCCGTGGGGAACTTCATCGCCAAATAATAAGTGGAGACCACCGCACGAAGAGCATGGGTGATGGGCCGACCTATTATGGCATTGTACAGGGAGGGAGTTGCGACCACAAAGAAGTCATGGTTGAGCCGCACTATGCTAGGCCAGGTGTCGACTTCCACAGGTACTGTGATTCTCCCCAAGGGTCTGACTTCCTCTTCGTTGAAGCCTACCAAGGGAGTACTTGCGGGCTTGAGGTCGCTCTCTTGGAGCTAAAGCTTGTTGAACGCTACCTTGAAAAGAATGTTTGTCGAGCTACCGGAGTCGATGAGGACGCACTTGACTTCAAAGTCATTGATCCTTATCTTTACGACGAGCGCGTCATCGTGGGGGTAGTGGACCCTACGCACGTCATCTTCAGTGAAGAAGATCGGGTCTTCTATCCTTGGCCGCTTCGAGGGGTTCTATTCTTCCCTTCTGACCTCTCGAGCTAAAGTCCGAGTTGCGGTTGAGGTGCAGCCCACGACGATTGAACCTCCGACGATCACATGTATGTTGCCCCGAACTGGTCTCTCTTCGGGGGGCTGCCTCTGTGGCTGCTCAGCTTGCCTGCTGATGGATTCGGGAGCGTCTCTACTTTGCTCCCCCTGCCGACCTGCTTTATTATTATTATTTTGTACAAAATTTTTTAAGTATCCACGATGGATGAGCTCCTCTATCTCGTCGCAGAGGTTTTTACAACTCTCGGTACTATGACCGTGATCTTTATGGAAGCTACAATACAAGTTCTTATTCTTTACATTAGGGTACCCTCTCAGTCGGGGTGCCCACTTCACGTATGGGGTGTCCTTGATCGCCATATACGGATCTCGGGCCGCTCTGCGTTCAGGGGCATGTAGTCTGTCCTCTTTGTTGGTGGAGCTCGGAAAGGCTGACCTGGCCTTGCCCCCCAAGCTAGGTCTTTTTTCTTCTTGCTATCCCCCTGGGTCGAGGACTCGGCTTCCCTTTTCTTTTTTCAGCGACCTGCTCACCCTTCTGGTTGATTTCCTCTTTCGTCCCTATAAACTGGTTTGTTAGCTTGAGGAACTCGGTTACAGTCTTGGGTCGATTGACCACCGCGTGCCACTTGAATTCTTTGTGCGTGATGCCTCTCTTGGCCGTAGTAAGTCGAACTGTGGGGTCCAGGTCAGGTATCTGTAAACAAGCGTCATTGAACCACTTGATGTAACTCTAGATAGATTCTCCTTCCCTCTGGACTATGCCAAGGAGGCTCTCCTGGGTTCTCGGGCACCGCTTGCTGGTGACGAAATGAGAAGTGAAGACTTGCACAAATTACGTCTAGCTTCTTATCGATCCTGGCGTGAGGTTCCTGTACCATGTACGAATCACTCCTTTGAAAGTGGTGGAGAAAGCTACGCACATGCAGGATTCACTGGCCCTTTCCAAGTGCATCTGTCACTGAAAGGCGTCTACATGATCATTCGGGTCGAATGATCCGTCATATTTGTCTAGGGGAAGTAGTTTGAAGTCATTGGGCATTGGGATGGCCAAGAGTTCAGGAGACAGAGGGGATGGTACAGAGAGGAGCGGAGTGACTTTTATTTCACCCTAGCTTACCTCTTCCTTACCCTTGAGATTGGGCGGGTTGTGTGTTGCAGTTCGGCGAGCTCGGCGACGTCTCCGCTGCTTTTTTGTGGGCTCTGCATTGGTGCTGCTGGCCTCGGTATTGTCGGGCATAATTTTCGCAGGGAGGGGGACAGACTGTTGGTGATGGCTACGGATAGAGGGATCTTGCTTGGAGTCTGCAGCCAAGACCTCGAATCGATTCTCCACAAGCGGGGCCACGAACTCGAAAAGCTGAGGTGATGCGGGCCTGGTAGGCTGGGACCCTCCCGACCTGACTGCGTGCGGCGAGGCAGGGGTGACTGGTCTTTCCTTCCTCCCATAGGATGAGACTTGACCCTTGCGAGGATTCTGGGTCTGAGAGGTCTCTCCCCGGCAAGAAGAACTCTTGTTCTTACGGCGAGGCTGGACTTGTTGCATGGCCGGATGTTGAGGAGGAAGCGGTTGCTGGGTCTGAGGCAGCAGAGGAAACTGCTGCTAATAGTGATGCTGAGAAACTTGGTGCAACACTTGCTGCCGATATAGTTGGAATTGTTGGACCTGTTGCATCTGAGCAAACTGCTGCTAATAGTGATGCTGAGAAACTTGGTGCAGCACTTGCTGCTAATATAGTTGGAATTGCTAAACCTGTTGCATCTGAGCTTGCATAGCTCGCATGCATTGCACCAGGTCTTCAAGCTGGTTTTGGGCGGTCACGGGAGGAACAAGGGAATGTTTGGTGAAGGTTGTTCCAACCGTGAAAGGGAGTGGAGCGTTCACAGGTGCCATTGTCTGAGGCACGTTCAGAATGGACTCCATCCGTAGAGAGGGTAACGGTGAACTGTCCAATACACACCGCTGGGACCTGGAGTTGCTCACCGGCGGTGTTCATTTCTGCATTGCGTCCTGCGTTATTGGAATAAGCCATGAGAACTAAAGTTTGCAAAGTTTTGGTGGAAGGCTTTTTTGAAGCGTTTCCCACAGATGGCACCAAATGATGTAGCGCGATCTGGTCACTCCTAGCTGGCAGGGGCCTCGCTCCTATCTGGCAATGGACAACACCTGAGAAGGAGAAGATGAAGGATTCCCGGGGAGCACACCCGGTGGGAGCACTCCGATTCTTAAGTTAGAACTCGGTGAAAAGCTTAGAGAGTAGTAAAGGGAAGACGAGCTAAGAGTAAAGATGCGCACTACTCGATTACCAAAAATTCAATTCCCTTTTTCCTTGGGGGCCGGAGCCCTTATATATTAATGCGCTGCCAAATCGGGTGTAACCACCTCTGATTCTCTACTACAATTGTTATTCATCAGGCTGATTTGATTGGTGCAGGTATCCGTCACAGGGTACGGTCCTGTCACTTGAGAGACTTTATGCAGAGCTGGCATGCACGTCGCCGCTTGACGTAAGACGTGGGCGCTGTCCTCTAGACTGGCAGATGTTCCGCCGCTAGACAAGAGACATGGGAGCAGACTAACAAGCACGGACCTGTCGGATAAGAAGTTTTCCGAAGACTCAGGGTTACTCAATAGCGAGCTCCTTTGTAGCGAGCTCCCTTGTAGCGAACTCCTTCATAGCGAGCTCCATTAGTGAGCTGCCTTGCAGCAAACCATTCTGTAGCGGGCTGTAGCGAGTTGTTCTGTTGGGGTTTCAGCGAGCTCATTACTTCGAGTTGTGTCCAAGCTATCATGCTGAGCTGTCACTTACGTCGAGTCATATCCATGTATCCCTTAGTTAGGAGGTCGGGTCAAATCACCCTCCACCAGAATGAAATCAAGCATCTTGCAAAATTTTTTCAACAATCAAACGTTAAAAAACAGAATAATTGGTCTCAACAACCACACATAGGATGTCAAAATGAAAAATATAAAATTTCCTTTTTCATCCCATTTTTTCTTATCCTACTATTTTTCGGCAACCAAACGGATCATAAGATAATGATGAAAAATCATGATGAACTTTAAACAAATTTCTAAATTAAAATAAAAGAAAGGCAACCTCTGGATTGAAATACAAATGGTTTGTATGATATTAGCGTAAGGATGCTGTGCATCGTGTATAAGTACAGGGTAAAGATATGGTAGCTACCATTTTTATGGTGGGTTCCAGTCTTTCAAGTTACAATGAGATGTATCGTATCAAGTCATGATCGGTAGTGGAACCTGCTGTTCTGTTGGGAGATCCATATTAACTCGACATTATACAATCAAATTTGACTATGAATGCATCAAAACCAATGCAAGGCCTTTGATTTATGGGATAAGTGAACTGCAATCCCCTTGATTTATTGCAATGGCCCACGAAGATGTCACTTTATGTAATATTGTAATTCAAAGTGGGGCATAGCAAGAAATCAGTGTTGATTTTGTTGTTTCAGCACAGGACTAGAGCAAATGTGGTTTGTATAATAGATTAATAGTATACATGAGGAAGGTTCAATACCCTCTCTCTTTCCCAAACTCTTGTGCAATACTGGTATGTCACTCTCTGATAGGAAGTAAGCTGCAGACAGCCATTGACATTTGGCTGAGCAATCTATCATGAGTAGAGGTGTTTAATTTACATGGGTGCATATGAGTAGAGGTGTCAATTGGATTGAATTTGGTCGAATCCGATCCGTTCCAATGTCAGTCCATTAGAAATGGACCAGGTCCAATCCAATTCAATGAATACAGTGAATCATTTTGAGCTGATTCAATTTAATGTCTGGACCATTCAATCTGTTTAAATTTGTTTTAATTTAGATTAGTTCTAATTCAAATTTGATCCATTGACAACTATATTCCTATCTTCTATCAATGGATTAGATATTGGCTCAATCCAATCCAATACAATATAAATTCATTTCAGATGGATTAGATTCAATCCAATCTAATAAATACTTTGAACGATTAAGTTTGGACTAGTGACTGGTCCAATTCAATATGTTTTGTTGGTCCGTTCAATCTATCTTAATTGATTTTGGCATGGATGGGGTCCGATCCAAAACCAGTCCATCGACACCCCTACACATGAGAGCCACACCTTAGGTATAAGGAACACTGGCGTGTTCAGTCGTGATAGGTTGCCCTTGTAGGACTTTGAGGTGAAACCTTGAAATCCCAGCTGAAAAAAGGTGTAACTCATAAATGGAGACGCTGTCTTCTGTTTTTTTTAGAGACGAGACGGTGTCTTCTGTGCAAACAAAAGGCCATTTATACAATGCACAAATTATGAGCTATATATGATCCGTTCTGGAAAAAAAATAGTGAAAAAATTTACAGTTAATAAAAAGAAATTCCACCGCGCTAGTTATCGACCTTCTATCGTGATGGTTAACTGATTACCAGAACATATTTCTGGTCTACTATATGAAGTAGCTGAAATAGACAGAGCTCTCCATTCAGTGTAAGCTGGTTGTTTTGGAATTGGAAAATTGGCAGTTTCACTGCCTAACAAGAAAACTACATTTGACATAGTTGGGCGATCATCTGCATCATCTTGTATGCACAAGAGTGCAACATGGATGCACTTCATAACTTCAAATGTATTGCATGGTTCACGTAATGACTTGTCCATCAAATCCAACGCCTTGTCTTCTTTCCATAATCTCCATGCCTGAGAAGAGTTTCAAAAAAAAAAAAAAAAAAAAAACTAATGTAAGAAGAGAAAGAGAGCCAATGCTTGATGGTTTTGAGAAATTTCTACCACTTACGTATCCTAGAAGGGTCGAAGATTGTTCTGACTGATAAAAACCCGTATTCTTCATGCCACTGATGATTTCAAGGAGTACTACCCCAAAGCTGAAGACATCAGATTTAACTGAGAAAAACCCATCTAATGCATACTCTGGAGACATATACCCACTGCATTCCACCACCATCAAACAGTCATCAATTGGTTGGATCTAGGATTAACAGTCAAACTATTAATGTTAAATTTGCTTGGCAGCAATAACAGGTAATTAATCTGCAACCTGTGAACAATCTTAATTATTGTCACTAAATTGGGGTTATATATGCTACTTACTATGTTCCGATTACTCTGTTGGTATTCTCTTTGGTCTGATTTCCTTCGACAATCCTTGCCAGGCCAAAGTCTGAGATTTTGGGATTCATCTCCTCATCCAAAAGAATATTACTTGTTTTCAGATCTCTATGGATAATTCTCAACCTGGAATCGTGATGAAGATACAAAAGTCCACGAGCAAGTCCCATTATGATATTGAAGCGTTTTTCCCAATTCAATAACAAGCAACGTTTTTGATCTAGCAATTGACCATAAAAAAAAAATAAATAAATAAGATTTTTGTAGCATCATTATAAAAGCAAGTGATAATCTATGACTATTCTGATGTGTGTTTTTTGAAAGCCAGAATTTTTAAGTTTTAGGACCTCACCAAAGATAAAGCAGTCCAAGCTTCTGTTAGGCATGTACTCATAAAGCAGCATTCTCTCATCTCCTTTGATGGAATAACCCAGAAGCCTGACGAGATTTCTATGTTGAAGTTTGGCAATCAATAGAACCTCATTCTTGAATTCTTTTAGACCTTGTCCAGAACTCTTTGAAAGCCTTTTCACAGCTATTTTGTGTCCCCCCGGAAATTGACCCTGTAAACCACATGGATAAATTTCTCTGTTATAGACCCAAATAGAGCTCTTTCACTGTTTCACAGTTCTAAAAAGAGGAATATTACCTTGTAGACAGACCCAAACCCTCCTTGTCCAAGCTTATTTGAATCAGAGAAATTCTCGGTAGCAGCTGCTATGCTTTTAAAATTGAAAAATGGCACATCTATTCCTTTTTGTTTATCTTCTCTAAACTTGTCCAAATCTAGGATGTCCCCAGGATGATCCCCATTTTCATCCAAATGAGCTACAGGATGTTTTTGAATGTTTTCCCTGCGTGCTGAACGTAGAAAAAAAAAATCTTAAAAACATACTTTTTCATGTGGAGAAACAATTGAAAATCTTAACTTGGTAAAAGGATTATTTCAAGTATCCTGCAGCATTTATTGATCGGTATCAATGTGAGTTGAGTGATAGACAATATTAACTTATAACAACACCAACAGAAGATGATTTTCTTTGGGTCTACTGGTTACCTTTTCTTTTGGCCAACCACTTCCTTAATCGACAGATAGTGAAAGCAGTGCAAAAGGAACCAAAAGCAACTGCTATGGGTACAATGATTTTCGTAGGCAATGGCTTCCTGGAGGAATGGGCTTGTTCAGTTTTGTTGACAGCATCTGCATCAAAATACCATAAAAAAAATCTATTTGATATAATTTTGTATACCGGCTCTTTGAAATCGAAGTAGTAAAGATGATTTTACCCGGCATGTCAATTGCCAACTTTTAATAAATTGGTTTCAGAGCATCTCAAATCTCACCTGGAGTACAGTTCGCTGTTGATGGATCCCAGTGAAAGTTTTCATTGCATTGCTTACCAGTAGGCCCTGAAAACAAAGATGATGGACGAAGTGTCACCATTGGGAGTATATTTTGTTGAGGAAATAACTTGATTGGGCGGCAGCTTTTGAATGGGCCATCAAGCTGTGGTGCTATTAGGAATGGCAACAGGGCGGGGTGGGACGGGGAGCCTCTCCCCATCCTCATCCCTCGTCCCTGTCCCCGCTAACGGGGACAAGGTTATCTCCATCCCCGTTTTCATGGGGATCTCCATTCCCCATGATTTTTTATAATATTAATCATTTTGTTTTTCTTTTATTTTATTTAAAAAATAAAATAAAATAATTAAAATTTAAAATCCTATTAGAAAAAACTTAATCATAATTTTAAAAATATTAATATATAGATGTATATATACATATATACATATATAACATATATATTAGTGGAGATCCCACATGATGAAAATCGGGGTCCCCATGGGATACGAAATTCCGTGGGGGAAAAATCATTCCTATCCCCACCCTATTCGAGACGGATCCCCACGGAAAAATAGGGAAAATTGCCATCCCTAGCTATAAGCAGTTAAACACCTTAACAATGTTCAGGGCCCACAAGTTACCATCCATATCGTGTTATTAGGAATTTAGGACTCGGTTCATCCAAACCCTCCATAAGATGGGTCCTGCATAGCAGATCAGCAAGGCTAAAGCCTGAAGATCAGTTTGCATACAGAATACAGAATATTAATAGGTTTTAACTACATCCATCTCCTGCACTTGATTAATGGAATGTAGAGAAACATTATCCTAAATTTAGAAAGCAACTCCATAGATGAAGTTCAAATCATCCTTAAAACATAGGGTAAGTGGCAAGAAAAGATAGATCCAGACCTCACGTAGTAGCCAATCAGGTGTTATTTATCAAAATTCATGAATGGGTTTTGATTTGTCAAAACTTTTTTTATATCATATTTTTTTCTGCATCATAGATTTTCCCTTTTTTTAAATATACACAAAAGCTAGAAAAATATATAATAGTTAAATAATTTTTTTTCAAAAATAAAGCACCAAAAGTTTCGAAACTTTTAATTATATATAGATATTTAAAATTAAAAAATATATTTAAATTTTCTTATACACATATGTTTAATATATTGTACACTTGTATATAAAATATACAACATCTTTGATTTTGCACTTTCTTAAATGAGAATCAATTTGACCATTTTTTCCGTATTCTTTGTTTTTAGTTTCAAATTGTATAGAAATAATTTCTTATAACTATATAGTTATGGCATAGGCATTTATCAATAGTAATCCCTGGTTTTGCACCCGCCAGACTCTAAGCAGGCATCTTTAGTTGGCGTGTGGAGTATTTCTTTTTTAATCATCACATGAGCTGCCTTGTTGACTTGAACCTATGTATGTTAATATTTTGTGATCTTTCTTTAATCATTTCACTAGTTCCATCAAGTTGAAGAATATAAAATAGGAATTAAAAATAATAATTAAGGCAAAACAGCCAAAACTAAAACTAAGTACGTAATATAATGGCTAAATCTGGGGACACAAGAAGTTAGGAATCTGGATCTGCTCCCAACAATCCTCCAAACAAACCACTACAGCCACACACAAGAATATGAGTTCGGCTTTGGTCAGATAACATCTGTTTGAACAGTTTTTACAACTTTGCATCGAGAATATCTCTGTATTTATGTGATTTATTGCATTGAGAGATATTCCTGATACAATGATGCAACCCTGACCGAAGCCAATCTCCAGGAACATCTCCACATTTCCAGACGTGCGGCTGTAGTTGTTGGGAGCAGATTAAGTTTCTAACACAAAACCATGGGACTAATAACTTGGTACCTGTTCTACGTATGATCATCGGGGACCACTATAATTATGGGTCTTAACTGATTTATCAGTTGGCCCAAAATTCCTACCCTCGTCCCTGGTTGGAGACCATTCGTCAATGGGTCCTAATTATTTGAAATATGGGACAATAATTATGCGGCCTCAGATCCATCTACAGGTTTTTGTGTTACCCAAGTCAACATATATGGTGAGTTCACATCAGCACCCCACAATGTCTTACAGTACATCTTGATCTTGTATTGAGAACATCTTCAGATGATGTATTCAGTATGATTTTTAAATTCAGATTAGATTGGATGATCGGACCAAAAAATCAAGAAAACCGTTGATTTGATCAGTAAACCACTGATTTAGGCAGTTGAATTATTGAACTATTCAATGGTTTTGACGGTTTTTATTTCTTTTCATTTTTTGTTAGAACAGGTCATCCATTCGATTTGAATGATCGAACCATTTGACGCAAGAGCCAGACCCTGACCGATTCATTATCGGGTTTGGTTTTAAAAACCTTTGCTCTATAGTGGCATGGCTGTGGTTGTGGTCAACTCTGTTGGTCTATGCCTATTGGTGGACAACCTCTAAAGGGGGTGATACAAGGAAGTGTTAAACATATTTTGTCTATTTTTTAAAGAAATAACTAAATTAATTTGCTCCCCCAAAAAACCTTCTCTTCAATTTTTTTCAAGCTCTAAGCCGGCATGGGATAAGTCACTAATGAAGATTATATTTGGGGTATCATGGTTTTCAAAATTGGACCGGATCAGATGGTCAGACCGGAAAAACCAGAAACCAGTCAAGTGACCAGTTCTATTTTCCCCAAAAACTCCAAAACCGTTGATTTTAGTCAGCGATTCACTGAACCGGGTGATTAACCGTTTGAACGGTTTTGACTGTTTTTTATTTTTTGTCAGAATGGGCCGAGCGTTTGATTCGAACGGCAGACCATTTGACCCAATAACCGGACCCCTGACGGGTTCGGTGTCCAGGTCGGTTTTTAATTCTTTGCGTAAGCCCAGCTGCGTAGGTGGGTGTTTAACCCTTTTAGGCTGGGTGTAAGGGGTCCTTTTGCCTAAAGAATGAGAAGCTTTACTGCCTGAAACAAGAATTCTAGGGCTTCCAGCATAAAACGACTTTACACGAACTCGTACTTTTGTTGAGTAGCAATGAAAAGTTGATAACAGTACACATATCCAACTAAAGTTTTATTTATACTAAAACATTCTGTGAGGGAGAAGAATACTAAAACATTCATAAACTGGTTGTTTTTGCTGCGTTCCTAATTTTCTATTTCATTGTGATTTATTTTTGTTTTTAAATCAAATCGACGACATTGGAGCGTTTTATAAGATCTAGTAATTGTTACGGATGGATGTCCTCCGGGGTTTCCCGTAGAGGATCGATTTCAAGTCACTGAAACTTACCTGAACTGGAAAGTGCCCTGCGGACGTGAATCTTCCGTCTCCTGTGCTTGGGATTATCCACCTGAATGCCATTTATAGTCTTCTCGTCCCGACTCCAAATCCAGCAAGAATAATGCTCTACGCTCTGGTTATCAGAAGCTTCAAATGAATAAGCTTTGCAACCTCTGTTAACGCATTCCTGTCTGCACTCTGCCTCATTCTTAGCTTCAAACTGCGACGACTCTGCTTCCTTTACATTCAATATATTAAAAGGGGCGAAGTCTTCCTTCCATACCTCGTTATTTGCGATGGCTCTCGTGCACCCACCGGAATAGTTGCCGGAATCCCAATCTTCCTGCGATTGGGCACGGAATCCAGGCAAACATTCACATGCCGGCGTATTATTGGCATTGCAAACAGCGTTGGCACCACAAGCTTTGTGAACGTTGCAGTTGTCGTTCGGTAACGACCATAACAATTCCCAGGCGTGGCCTCTCAGCCTCAGAAATTTGATTCGGCCAGTTGGGTCAATCACCAGCCTCGTGTTCCTGTAATTGAATTTTGTTACGCTTCTATTGACTTGGGATGAGTTAATACTTTTCCTTGTGAGTTGATCCGACAGATTTCCATTGGAGTAATCAATGGCATCGACACTGTAATTTGATAGCAAGTAGGTTACTAAGAAAGATAATCCATCCGACGATCCACTTCTCCAGTAGACGGTTGATCCATTATTGATGGTAAACTGGTATAGCCCACTATCATGATGCTCAAATGTGAATGCTCCTGGTGCTGGATCATACTCATCTATCCATGATCTTAGCATCTGATTTGCCTCCAGCTTCATGCCTGGGAGGAACATATTCGATGGGTTACGTTCATCATAGACGAAGCTCTGCCATATCGGGTTGTGATTCCCATTCTCTCCTCCTCCTCTTCCTCCTGCCGTCAGGATAAGGTTCCCAGAATCCAAGAGCGTAGCGGTGGTGTTAGTGGTTACAGTTACGACCTTTGTAGACCAAACTACTTTTCTTTCACCATCTAAAATCTGGAGGTTTCCGTCCCCGGCGATGGTAAACACTCCATTTCTATTTGGAATTGGGCGATCTCTGTTGGCGACCCACACAAGCGTTTGAGGAGACACACCATGATACCAAATCCCCAGGTACCGGTTGTTGGTAGAATTACCAGGAGTGAAAAACCCCAATTCGAATCTGCCTCTGGCAGAAACGAGAGTTTCTCCTAGTTCTCCGTCAAGGATGGGTTGGTGAGCAGTTATGCTGTCTCTCGCGGCGCAAAATAACAGGGAAGAAAAGGATAAAGAGAAGAAGAAATACCAGGAGAATACGGAATATTTGACGCTAGCAGACCATCTGCCCAACATAATTCTTCTTCTCTGCATTATTAAAGCCTCAGAATAGAGAGGAAAATCACAGCAGTTGGTTGGTGCCGTAGCTACCCCTTCTCAATCCACCTCTCAGGCTTCACAGTGCAGAATTCCATTGATGATAAATGGGGAATAATGTGAGTTCCGTCTTGCTCTTGCAACCTGCAACACAGAGGAGATATGTGATCCGAGGCACCAACCCTTGACTTGTCGCTTGTCGGCTAGTTGATTTATTGTCCTCTCCATTACAAAAATATCCAGGTAATCTGAGAACATTTTCAGTTTTGCTACCCTACCCTACCCTCCGTAATATGTATTAAACCTGACTAGCTGGGAACATGACTCATGACTGGTTAGGAGAAGTTAGGTATGAGTCTGATATGGATGTGGAATCGAACATCTGTCCGACCAATCGAGTCCCCTCTCTGATGAATGCTCTAATCAATATGTGGGGGTATTAGGGAACCTTTCTTCGAGTTCGGATATGGAAGGGGTTTGCATTTACTGAGCAGCTTCCGTAAACCTTTTCAACAGGTTTTTCGGTCTCTGTCGCCGGCTCGCCGCCATCTTTTCACCTTTTGAAATAGAAAAAATAAAAAAGCAAACAAAAAGCATGCGGATCCATAAAGTTACTTCTGTGGGGACAAGTGTTGAAATAGAAAGAACATTGCACAGAGAATTTTAAGAGTCGGATCGAATATGCTATGCAGTGAAAAACTGAAACACATGGTTATTGCTAGCTAGGAAAATTCAATTAAATTTCAGGGTATTAAATGGAATTTTCCCTATTATAAATAAGGTTTATATACTATCAAAGCACGTGTAATTATGAAATATTGGGACACCTTAGAAAACGATGGAAGAACTAAAATATGCATGCATATCTTAATTTATAAATAAACCTTTATAAATTGTCTTAAATATATATATAAATTTTAATAATCAATTATTTTAAAACTTTTTTACAAAATGTGCATTAAGATAAAAAATGTAGACTTAAAAATTTTAAATTATGACAAGTAATTGAAAATCGGTGGATTGGTGGATCAGGCGGATTTGATGGTGAAAAGAGTTTATTACGATTGACTGGTTGTGTCGGTACATATTGTGAATATAGCTAGGCGAAATAGAATAGAATATTGGGCTTTTCAAATAAATAAAGGAATAGCTTGTTGGCCACTCCATGCATGCCATAAATTACAATCACAAATATCAATATATGTTATAGTAGTAGGGCCCTTTGGGATGCATGAGCTTTCTTATAAAGCAATATCCAAAATCCAATATGATGATTTTAATATAAATTAAGTTTAGTATCATTTTATCTAAACTATTAATTGAAATATATTTAATTAATTTATTATTTTTATTAATATTCTTTTTTGTTTTTAATTCTTTTATTTTATAATTTCATTCATGTCATTAATTTATATAATTACTTTAGTTTATTTAATTTAGTTAATTAAATTAATTAGTTAGTTAATTTAAACTAAATGAAGTTAATTACTTTAATTAATTTAAGTAATTCTTGTTGTCATATAAATTTTTTTATTACTTAACATTTTTAAATTCTAATTTTTTTAATTAAAATAAGCGATTTTAAATAGAATCGACCAAACAAAATGAATTGGTAAATGTCATCAAACCGGCCAAATAACTCTAATACTAAAATCGTTATGTTCTAAAATTTTATTCATAAATAGTTCAGAGAATATGTTGCATGCCCTCAAAATTTCGAGTGTAATCATATTGTGGCTTGTGAACTTTACATCTAGTAATCTATTACTATATATAAAACACAATTGGCCACGTTAGATGGCCTCTCCTTGCTCCCTTATCTCAATAATTAAAGCTTTGGAAGGAGTACAACTACAAATATGTACAGTACAAATACATACAAAATAATATAAAATACAAAGTTTTATACTCTACAAATTTGTATTTGTATTCCTTCCAAACTGAGCCTAAGCAATTCTATAGGGGGTGCAAAATTTGCTTTAGAAGCCCATGGAGTTGCCACCTTAACATGCTTTATTTATTAAAAACCTATCTCCTTTTTGTTAGGAAACTAATAAAACTCATATAGTGAGTACCTATTTTTTAGGAAAGTCAATCCTTCCAAACTAACCACGTGGCACCACTATCCCCACTTTCTCGTAAATTATCTTTAACTACTACTATCTCATAAATTATCTCTAATTTAGGAGAGAGTGTTTCTCCTAAATTATCTCTAATTCATATTTATCCTCTCCCCCACTAGGGATGGCAATTTTACCCACAAAATCGGATCCCCAATCTGACTCACCCCGAACAAGGCGGATTTTCCCCGATCATACATTGGGACTGGTCGGGTTTGAGGAATTGTTTTTGCTCCAGACCGGGGACGAGGCGGGGATGGGGTCTGCATATAAATCCCCGAACCCGCCCTGACCCCAGTTGTAAAGGCAGATATAGTGATATACCCTTATATATATAATCTATTAAGGTACTGCATTAGGTTAGGAGTTTGAGAGTCTTGAATACAACCGCAAGTTGTGAGTTGCCGCCTGTTTCCCTATTCCCTAATCCCTACTTTTTGTCTTCTTCAACCTTCGCACATATAGAGACTCAGAGAGTCACTGAACTAAGTCTTCCTTCAACCTTCGCACAACCGCCGACAGTCGAGCGTCGCTGCCGCCGTAGCAAAGAGGAACCACCGATCGCCGTTACATAGAGGAATCGCTGACCGTCGTGGTTCTCACTTTCTCTCATTCTCTATTTCCCAGTTTGGCACTGGCAGTCTTTCTCTCATTCTCTATTTCTTCTTTTCTAGCTCTCTGTTTGTCCACCGACCGTTGGGCGGCGGCTTCCTAGTCTTCCTTCGTTCTTCGATCTTCACTTTGTTTCTTGGTACTCTCTATGTTCAATACAACATGATAGCTTTGCGTTTATTACATGTACATGAATTGGAATTACTTTTACTTGGAGTTTGCTTTTTTGTTTTGCTTAGAACACGTGAATGTCGATGCTCTTCAAGGTTGCTTCTTTTTTTTTTCACATAAACAAATTTGGTTTATGATGGAAAGGTGTTAGACAAAGATTAATACAACATTACAATGAAAAGAAATGGAGTTCAAAGAGGACGAGACGGGTACATGTCGGGGATTCCCCATCCCTGATGGGGCCAGGGATGGGGGTTGAATCTTTACCCCGGTACCGGGGATGTGGTGGGGACAGGTGCGGGGATTTTAGCCTCAGGGCGGGGATGGGGAGGGGGTGCCCTGCCCCATACCCGCCCCGTTGCCATCTCTATCCCCCACTTTTCATCTATATCTATCTAAAGAAATTTTGAATTAAAAAATTTAACAATTATTTAAATATTATAATAAAATTTATGTAATAAATTTAAAATATTTATTAAAATACAAAGCATAATTATAATACATTTAATAATATTCATATTATTAATAATTATATATTTTTATGAAATTCATAATGAAATTATGTAATAATAATATAAATTATAATTTTATGGATAATCTAATTTAATAACTAAATAATATTATAGAAATTAAATAAAAAAATGTTTAAATTCTATTCAAACAATAAAAATTTTAACATTAAACAATATTATTTAAATATTTCAATTCAATGACTCAATATTTTAAATGACAAGATGTTTAAAATATCTAAATAATTATATAACAAAATAGTTAATATTACATAAAACTTTAAAATAAATAAAATTTCAATAACAAAAAAAATTAAATATTTTACACATTATATAAATATTTAAATTCAATAAATAATTATTTAAATGTTATACAGATAATAAAAAATATAATTAAAATATTTCAACAACTTAATATTTTAAATATAAAAATATTTAATATTACAAAATAACTTTAAAATAAATAAAATTAAATAACAAAAAAGTTAAATATTTTTACATATTATTTATATATTTAAATTACTAAATATTGAACATAACTATATTTTAAATAGTTAAAATAATGAAATTATGATATTTAGTTTCGAATTAATAATGAAAAATTAAAAATGATACTATTTAACTAACTAAATAATATTGTAAATAACTAATTTTTAAAATTTTGTTACGATACAAAAAAAATAAATATGATTCATAATTTAATTTATTATCATATTTGAATACGTCGGCGTATTTATTTTTCAAATATGGTTTATTTTTGTTTTTTGTAATTTTCGGAATTAATAATAATTAATAATTAATTACATTTTGTTATGATATATCCCTAAGGACTGAATATATTCAAATATTATTTTGTGTATTTTTTTAATTTTTAGAATTAAAAATGAATATTATTTATTTATTTATTTTTTATTGTGATTTGTCCATAAATACTGAATATATTCTTAATGTATGGCTGATCTATCATATCCATAGATCATTTGGCATTTTTTATTCGAATTTGAATAATGATTTTGAAATGTGGATCATGAATAAATGTGACATTTATATTGAATAAATATGAATATGATTATAGAGTGCTTTCTAATTTATTTTTATGGTTTACTTGAATTATGATAGTTAAATTAATTGGATCACACGGAAGCATTTGTCTCTTGGCTCTTCATTTCTTGGATATTTAAAATTGAAATTTCATCTACCGAGCCTTTCATATGGCACCTAAAAGGAAAGAAGACCTAGATAATGGATGGAGATATGGTACTAGAGTAAATAATAATAGACTCCATACCAAATATAATTTTTGTGGGCAGATTATGAAAGGTGGTGGTGTAACATGTCTTAAACATCACTTGCTAGAGGGTATCTAAACATTTCTAATTGTCCAAAGTGCCCAGTGGAAACTTCCAAGGCAATGAAAGAACATCTCAAAGAACAAGAGATGTTGAAGAAACAAAAACAAAGAAAGAAAAAATGTTAGGAAGAATATTGAGGCCTAGAAGGGAAGAAGAAGAAGAAGAAGAAAGATCTCAATATGTTAGCATTGATGATGATGATGATGATGATGATGTAGGGCAAAGAACATTCAATATGGGTAGACATGCATCACGAGCTTCTCAATCGGAACAAAAACAATCACAAAGATTCCATAGTACTAGGCCCCAATTTAGAGAATCACAACATCAAGAGGGGGGTTCATTACAATCACAATTATCTAAAAGCAAGAGCTATTTCTTTTGAGCAAAGAGTTGGAAAGAAGCATTTAACATATTTAGGTCCTCTAAGTCCAAAAAATCTTCAAAAATTGACATTCCTAGTATAGAAGAGATGGACAAATTTTTGTATAGAGACAGAGATGCTGGACAAAAAAATTAAGGAGTGTTATGACCATGGATATGGAAATGATACTAGAAGAGTTGTTTCAGTTTTTTCTATACAATCATA